GTTACTAACATGTTTAGTAACTCAGAGAGAGTACTATCTATTTTATTCATATTGTAGTTCATTACGAACTGTGAGAATGAATCAGAAAGAGAAGCCAATATAAAGTCCTGGGCCAATTCCCCGTCAAGTGGAGTACCTAGGTTCTCCAGTTGTTCAATGAATCCTATCATCTTCAGTGCATGTTGATGCACTGGAGCCCCTTTGACCATCTTGGTCTTCACAAGTTCACAAACAGTGTTAAAGCGACGGTTGCGCGTCCCTTCACCATATAACTCCGTAAGATGGAGTATTATGGAAAATGCACTGTCCATGCCCTCGTGCTGTCTCTGTAGCTCCTCATTCATGGAGGCCAACAGATAGCACTTGGCTTGTGTATCATCCTCAACGTGCTTGTCATACTTAGCACGTTCATCCTCTGTGGCCTCAGGGCCAAGAGGTATGTCAGGAAGAGGCTTATCAAGTACGTAAATAATCTTCTCCAACGTTAGGAGAATCTTGACATTACGATACCATGATGGGAAATTGTGCCCCTCTAGGCAATGTTTGTCGAGTATTTTCGCGAATGTGCTTCCAACCATATCTAAATACATAAACAATAAAATAAATTAGTTTGATTGTTGTTTAAGTCACACGATTCGGGTCTTTAAACCGAATGACACCACCCACCATTTTTGGCAAATTCCATATCCCTCAAGATGGAATCCGGGAGATTTCAAAGAAAGCTCCTAGCAGGTTATAGGAGGCTCACTATTACCAAGCCCACCTCACGATGATACGATGTTGGCTAGCAAAAATAATAATGAGAGGGTACACTTACCCATTTACAACTCTTGTAATTACCCATCTAGTTTGGCCTCTAGAGAATGTTGCCTCACGATGATACGATGTTGGCATTATTGCACTTAGTTAAGTTATTCCCACCATGCTTAGTTCATGTAGGGGTTCAAGAATAACCTCACGATGATACGATGTTGGCTATCCTCGTTGCCTACACTTACCTCATCATATGTTCATGGACTCCTCCTGAGTGTAAGCATGCACTTTGTACTCCCCCATGATAGGGTGAAGCCGGTGTACAAGTCACAAACGATTGGAGCCCACCACGGTGGAAGGCCTACGAAGAAATGTTCAAAAAACATCTCTCGTTTATCAACTTAATATTCGTTTGTTGAGGGATTTTAAGGTCTCATCAATTTTATTTATTTAAACATATTCAAATAAATTGTCCTATTACAACTACTAGTCCAAAGTTAATGAAATTAGTAGCATATGATATCCCCACTATTCGTTTTCATAAAACAAATCAATATCAAAACATTTTTCAAAATATTGGAGATATATATAACTACTAATTGAAATCATTATAGTTTAGTAGCGTATGATACTCCCACTATTTGTTTTGAGAAAAACAAATCAATATCAAAAACGAATTTTTCAAATATTGGAAGTAACTACTACTACTACGGGTTTTGCAATCCTTTGAAATTGGACTTTATAGTTATCTTAGGCTCTTGGATGACCATGGACTTATTGGGTTATTGCAACAACGAGCCAACATTGTTGAATAAGATCTCGGGGAGGTTGTGTCAATTTAATTACGTGCTTTTCAATCCAATTAAAACATTTTCATTGAGCCATTAGAAATGAAAGACAATCATTCATTGCTTATTAGGGCGTTGGACCCATTTAATCTTGAATCTCATGTCAAAACCCTCTTTTAGTTATGTCTCCTTACCAATAGTTAAAGAAACTCTAGTCTAGCACTAGAGGGAATCAACTAACTAAAAGAGATTAAGAAGTAATAAGAATTACAAACCGATTTGTACAAATTCCTACAAATTACATATACTAAGAGGGAGAGATAGATTAATGTCGAAACGTGACAAGGTCCAATTGAAACAGTAATTAAAACACATTCCCAAGGTTCAAACAATTTGATTTTAGCGCCTTATCTCATAGCTCAATTATCGTTTAAGGCATAAGTCCATAGTCACCCATTTACTAATTACTCAATCATATTAAATAATCAAATGGAATGCAACATATAAACAATTAGATTTAGTGCATATGGGCATAATTCAATGATGAGTTTAAACATTAAATAAAATTAAAATCAAACATTTCAATTTTTAAATAGTAGGGGTCTAAATGCAAATATGAAAAAGTTAGGGGTCAAACCATAAATACTAAAAGTAATACCAAACTTTTCATGATTACAAAAGGACCCTCAAGTGGGTAAACCATTGAGGATGGCCGGCCATATTAAGGGGAAGGTGGGTAGGTCTCACCCACCTTGCATTATTTCAACTTAAAGAAGAAAAAATCTTGTTTGCCACTTAGTTTTGTTTTAAGGACTTTAAGAAAAAGAATGATTGAAATATATATCTAGACAATTCTAGGTATTAATTTAAATTTTGGTGTAGGCTATGGATGGTATGTACATCATCCATAACCACAAAACAATGCATGTAAAACCATTTTCACCAAAAACCAAACCATGAACACCAAGAACAAAACCATGAACATATTTTCAAGATTTGTATGTTCTTGGTGATTTTTCAAACCCAAAAAACAAAAGTGACAAGATCACTACTTTCTAGCTTCAAAGTGTGTGTGTGAGGTTCAAAACAAAACACAAACACTAACAAAAAATCCCCATTTAGCCGAACCCCCTTTGAAGAACAAAACCCCAAAATTTTTGTTTCTAAACCCTCTTTTCATTCATGCATCCAAAACATTTTTGCATACATATCTTTCTCAACTATTGATACACCTTTTCAACATTTGAAAAAGACAAAAGATAAACATATTTTGAATGAAAAACAATTTAAACTCAAACTTCATTCATGCATCAAAAACACTTTTCTTGCATATCCTTTTTCAACTTTTGATTTACAATTTTTCAACAATTTGAAAAAAACAAAAGATAAACATATTTTGAATGAAGCAATAATATGACATACATAAAATTAAAACCCATATGCATAAAATCTAAAAGGACACATCATACATAAACCTTTGGCTCTGATACCACTTGAAGGGAAAATATGAGATTTATGTGGGATTTCTAGTGACTAGCATGCATATACAATTCAAAATTTATATACGAAAGCAACGGAAGCATGTCATACATTTTATCAAAGCTATAGTCATGCAAATCCCCTTCAAGATGCATAGGTTTATATAAGATGCATCAAAAACAATTTATTGAAGAACAAAGTTTAGGAGTAGTTTTGTACCTCTTGATCTAGATCTAAGACCGAGGATTGACCACCTCCAAGCTCTTTGCTCCTTGAACTCCTTGAGCCTAGCCTCCCTCCTTGCCTCCTCCACTTTGTTGAGAATGAGTGCTCCTAGGTCCTCTTCAAGTTTCCAAAGATATGAAAACCTCTAAAGATCCTCACCCACTTTGTAATGAGAAAGATGAAGGAATTAACCAAAGGGTGATAAGATGATTAGCTAGAATTCCCTTTGGTGGCCGGCCCTTTGAAGTTTTTAGAGAGAATAATTCTCATTTCTTTTGTGTATCATGAACCACCTAACACACTCACACACACTTTCATTATATTATGTTCCTTTTATTTCTTAAAGAAACAAATCAACAATTGACTTACTTTCTCTCCCTTCTCATATGGCCGGCCTATTGTGTTTAATTTGGGCTTTGGGCTTTTAATTATTTCAAGTCATCCAATGCTTGAATAAAAGCCCAATGGGTTTTGGCCCAATGGGCCCGATTAAACCCGAACGTTTCTTTAAGCCCAAAACGATCTTTATCGCTTTTATGATTTCTTTAGACTTTCTAAATTAATCAAAACACTTAATTAATCCAATTAATTATTTCCTTCATCCATTAGTTACTCACTACAAGAGTGTATCGGTGAACAATCTTTTAGGTTCTAATTAGCAAGGCAGTGAGGTGATTGGCACCAATCCAATTGATTATCCAATCACTTAGTGATTTAAAACTTACTTTTAATTCACCTTCCTTTTAATGACTACATTTAATCATCTAGAAGAACTCACAAGCCATGAGTGACATCTAATCATATATCATGGCTACCCAAGCTAATGTAGAAGTTATTCGGAGAACCTATTCAGTTGGAATTACAATGTAATTCGATCCTTCTCTAAAACAATACTCTCAATCACATTACTAGGGTATGGATTTATAATGTCAAACCCCTAATGTGATTATTCCTTCTTATACGATTCATTTGAGACGTATAGGAACGCTTTCCTTTATTACGCTCGATACTTCGGCCGAAGATTCTCGAATCATATCTTAGAGTATTCATCCTCTCTTATCGAAGATTAGAGATTCCTTGTTGCGCATTCACTTGCCTTCATGGCTAAGTGGCTTAACCCCAACGATGCCTTGGACACTCTCGAATGGAATGACTTTAACATAATCAAAGATTAAGTACTTAACCACAAGACAACGAGATGCCTCAGGTCAAAGGATTACTTACATTATTCCAACCATTAGAGTTACTTGCTTGACATGTGAGTAGACCTCCATGCAAGTACTCTCGTTCGATTGTGTTCAGTGAACTCATTCCCTTAATGAGCACCTACATGCTTGTCTTAGTGTCGCTACACGAATGGGATGAGACTTTCCATCCTTCCAATTGAAGCGGACATAGTATGTACCAGTCTATGGATTGTCAGTATCCCTCCGACAATCCTTATGACCAGGAACCTTTTTGGACATGATGGTTATGAGAAGAAGGTCTCTGTAACCTAACATCATTAGGTTACTTCTTCCATCGATCCATTGTCCATGGATTCACTATTTAGGACATATTTCGTTCATTGAGATAGTCCCAATTAGTATCTTTGCCTTCCGATGTATAAGAGTCATATATATACATCAATTCATTGTCCTGAAAGGTTTCTTCCAAAGATTGACTTTCAGGGCATATTTCCAACAAAGTCAACTTTCTCCTTCGTACTATAAATAATATCATTTGGGGTAAATTACATAAAACTACCTCAACTATTAGGTCAATCACAGTTTCATACCTCATCTTTAAAAAATGTCAATGTCATACCTCATCTTACGAATTTGTTACAATTTCATAACTTCCGTTAGTTTGTCCGTCAATTCTTTCGTTAAATAGTGACGTGGCTTAAAAAAATTAATTAAATATTAAAAACTAAAAATAAATAAAACCTTTTTTTATGCATGGGGGACCCATCCCTTATCCCCCTCACCTTTCTTCCCCGCTTCTATCTTCCCCTACCCCAAACCCAGATCCAACCTGCTCCTGTCTTCCCCCAACCCACCCGGCCCTCCACCCGAGCAAAACGCTCATCGATGCCTAGCTCGCCACTGGGAAGCTCGATCCGGAGGAATCGAATCTCGTTGAAATTCTTCAAGACTTGGGTCGGGGAGTGGTGGGTGATGCCGGATTGACATTCCTTCCTTCCATATAAAGTGAAGAAGTTACCTTGTATTAAGCTCAACAATTGGCGCCATTTTGTCTTCTACTGTCCTGAGCAATGAAAAAAATGGAACCTTCAAAATATCAAAAAAATCATTTCCTTTCTCCCACATTTTCCGAGCAACCAAACAAAGCAAAACCATTCAATTTTTCCCAAAAAAAAAAAAAAAAAAAAAAAAAAAAAACAAAACAAAACCCCAAGTTGTATTCACAAGAGAGTGCCGACCTACCTCAAAGTCTCATTAACTTCGGTCCTAAAACCTCTTATTCTCAACGTGCATCTGACATTTACAGCAGGCTGAAATTCCCAAATCCCCCACAAATCAAAATTTACAAACCCTTAAAATCCCAACAAATTTACGAGTTCGTGGAGAGGGATTCAAACCCCACGAAACTTTCATAGCCGTTGGACCAAAACACTAAACTATTTCTCGGCCTGAGAAAATCAAGATCTAATTTTTAATTTAAACCCGTGATGTTTTGGGGGAAAAGATTTGTGGGTATTGGAGAAGGGGACAAAAAAGGTTGAAACTTGCAATTAGAAATGATAAAAGGGGGTTCCGAAATAGAGACAGCGGTGGAGGAAGAGAAGAGAGGCACCTGGTGGGAATGGGAGTGGCCGGTTACTGCTAGAGCTGCTGTTGCTGCTTTTGTTTCTTCTCTGTGTAGGCTTTCGGGAGGGGGCAGGCGTGGTCTCCTGAATTGAGGTGGAGCCTTGGTGGTGGTCCAAAACCAATAACTTCTTTTAGTTTTAAAATTTTGATGCTCATGGAATAACTTGAATACCTGGGTTTGGGGTGGGATCTGGGTTTGGGTTGGGGGAAGAAAGGTGAGGGGGATAAGGGGTGGGTCCCCTACGCAAAAAAAAGAAAAAAAGATTTTATTTTTTTTAGTTTTTAATATTTAATTAATATTTTTATTTTTTATTTTTTTAAGCTACGTCACAATTTAACAGAAGAATTGACAGACAAATTGATGAAATGTATGAAATTGTAACAAATTCGTAAGATGAGATATGACATTGACATTTTTTAAAGATGAGATATGACATTGACATTTTTTAAAGATGAGATATGAAAATGCGACTGACTCAATAGTTGAGGTAGTTTTATGTAATTTACCTATCATTTGTTAAAAAAAAAAATAAAGGTAAATATTAGTTTACTACCCTCAAGTTTCATGGTTTTCAACATTTGGTACATAAAGTTTTTTTCATCCCAAAGTCATACCTAAAGTGTTAATTTTGGAATAGTCTCATACATCCATTAGTCTGGCTGTTAAATAGCCATTAACTGATGACGTGGTGCCCATGTGGAGAATAAATGGGCACCACGTGTTAATATGGGTCCATGTGAATATTAAAAATAAAAAATTAGAATTTTAAAAATATAAAAAATTGAAAAAAAAAATTATGGGCGTTCATTCACCCCTCCCGACCCCTTCCCTCCTTCTCTCTCCCTTCTCTTCCCTGCACCCAACCTCCTCACACACCAACCCATTCCCCTCCTACATCCACCCATTCCCCTCATTCTCCCTCCCTTCTCTCCTTTGCACTCCACTTCCACTTTCCTAAACAGCGAGTTCCCGGTCACAACCACCACTGACACCGTCGTCGCGAAAACCTACCATCGCCAGCCGACTCGACAGGATCTCGAAATCCTAGCTCTTCTTCAAGCTCTCAATGTACTCCGACAGTGTCACGAAGAACGACGACGTCGTTTCGTCCTTCGTCTTTATCACCCTAGCAGTGGGTGCCCTGCCCTCCTCGTCCATCTCGAGGCGCATCTTTTTCAGCGCTACCAATTGGCTGGTGGCTTTGTCCTTTGCCTTGTAGACCTTGCCTTACGTACCTTTGCCGACCTTCTCGAGCTTCTCATACTTCTCCATTTCTGAGAGATCGGGAAACGGAAACCCTAGAAATTTGAATTTCTAGTTCTCCCTCTTGTTTTTCTGGATCGAAATCGGTGGGTGTGCAAGTGGGTGAGTGTGTGGGGGGGAGGGTGAGTGCAGAGGAGAGAAGGGAGGGAGAATGAGGGGAATGGGTGGGTGTGCAGGGAGGTTGGGTGCAGGGAAGAGAACGGAGGTTAGGAGGGGCGAACGAATGCCCATAAATTTTTTTTTTTAATTTTTTTAATATTTTTAATATTTTAATATTCACGTGGGTCCCATATTGACACGTGGTGCCCAATTATTGTCCACATGGGCACCACATCATCAGTTAACAGCTAATTTAACAGCCGGACTAACAAATGTATAAGATTGTCCCACAATTAACACTTTAGGTATCTCTGGGATGAAAAAAACTTCATGTACCAAATGTTGAAAACCACGAAACTTGAAAGTAATAAACTGATATTTACCCAAAAAATAAACACCTTACTATTTTTTTTCATAACTTTTGATTTTCACCGCAGCAAAAGCAATTTTGGAAAGAGAGAAACAAAAGATTGCAAATCCAACGATGATCTTCCCAAAACAACCGTGCAGAAGAATGTAAAACTCGCAAGCAACAACACTTGCCGAACTTTAATTGGTCCCCGCACTCTAACAACCGCAGTTTGCCCTTCTTCCTGCAACGCCAGAAATTCAACGGTACAGACTGATCACCTTTCAGAGCGAGAGAGAGAGCGCGCCATGAACAGAAGGAACTTGCTTCTGCTCAAGATCCTTCTGTTTCTATTTGCCCTAAACTCCCTCTCTCTCCTCCTCTACTTCACTTCCAACTCCAGAACGCTTACTCCAACACAAACCCTAACCCACCACTTTTTCTCCCTCAGCCGCCTCCCCTTAACCGATCAGAACCGCCTCCTCCCGCACCGCTACTTGAAGCCATGGCCGATTTTACCCTCCTACCTCCCCTGGTCCCAGACAACCCAGGTCCCCTTTCGCTCCTGCGAGGCCTATTTCGGCAATGGCTTCACTACCGTGGTCGATCTCTTGAAACCCAAGAAAGATTTGAGCTCGAATCGCATGGGTTGGTTCAGGTGCTGGTTCAGTGATACCTTGAGGAGCTCAGTGTGCGAAGGAGGGGGGCTCCGGATGTACCCAGAAAAGATTAAGATGTCTAGGGGAGGTGAGGTTTTGGAGGAGGTGATTGGAAGAGGAGAAAAAGAGGAGCTGCCGGAGTATGAAGACGGTGCGTTTGAGATTGATGGAGGAGATGGGGTTGATGGAGGAGGGGGTCAGAAGCTTGTGACCCAAGAACTTCTTGACCGGTATGTGCCTAAGGGTCAGATTGATCAGCACACTATGAGAGAACTGATTGGATCGATTCGGATCGTGCCCAGTGCAGAGTTTCAATGCAATGAGGTTAGTTGGGTTCTGTTAGTTTCTATTTTTGGATTTGGCTGTTGATTGTGATTTGCAGGATTTAATTTGTTTTAGGGATTCGTTGTTAATGAGATTTTGGTATATGGGGTTTTAAATTATCGAGTTTTATCTAAGGAACTTGAGATTTTCTAGTTTCTCTGTGTGAGTTTACTGATGATCAATGTGGTTTTCGCTATGGGAGTTTCCAAGTTTGGAAATTTTTAATAAGGGTCTGTAAAAGATGTGAGGTTCTTTAATGGGTTGGGATGATCTGGTGTCAGAAATCTGCTTGTGAATATCCAAATAATGGGAAGATTGCTTATGGAAAAGTGGATGAAGATTAATTGTCTGCTAAATTTTGTTGTTGGAATAATTCAAACAAAGAACGAAGAAAGTTGTGAGAATGATTATAACTCGGCTCTTCTTCTTACTGTTGTTATTTAATGTTCTATGATGACTGTAGTATTATTTGCTTCTTTTCTAAATCTGCTACGAAAGTCCGAATTTGCAGTGGATTGAGGAGCCAACACTTCTGGTGACACGCTTTGAGTATGCAAATCTTTTCCACACATTCACAGATTGGTATAGCGCTTATGTAGCTTCAAGAGTCATTGGCTTACCAAATCGACCTCATTTGGTCTTTGTAGATGGCCACTGTATGGTATGTGGGTTTGATTTTCTTGTTTGAGTTATCGTTTCTTCTCAAAAATAAAATCTTGTTTGAGTTATCTTTCCTTTTGTGACATTTTTTAGTTTATGTGCACACAATGCTAGTGGTGTAGATTAACTTGTGATTTCATCAGTTGAGGCATATTGAAAGGAAGAAACATGCAAATTTAATCTTTTTAGTTGTTTAGTGATAAGAAGTAGCTTTCAATTTTTCTTTTAACAACTTAAAAGTTCATCTTTTTTTATTTTTTTATTTTTCTTTTTGTTTTTTTTTCGGGTGACGGCAGTTGATGTCTTACCATACAAATGTTATATGTAATTGATGACTTTTCGGATAATCCTCTTTATACTCCTGGGTTCGTCTGACTAGTTTTCTGTTTAAAAATCATCCAAACTTGTTTTGGAACCAAAAACAACCCTTAGAAAGGTCATGACGATTGAGAGAAAAACCAAATATGATGTCCACAAATTTTGGCTGGATAAGTCATAACGAGGAATGAGATCATTCAATATATGTAACTAGATGGGATGAAAATGTGTTAGTGGCCAAGAAGAGGGACAGTATAGGTGAGCTGACTATCGACTTCTGTTGTTAATCAGTAATCCAGTATAGGTAACAGGGTAACCGAAAAGTAAAAATGTTTTAATAATATTGTTCTTACTAAACATTGATCAAGGACTGACTTCTGCCCACGATGAAAGCAGTTAGGATGCCCTCTTTAGGATAGAGGAGAATCCTTTGTCGCTTTTCCTGACATTTGTAGCTCTTTTTTTATTTTATTTTTATATTTTGATTCTGCTTCCTCCTAAGTTTCAAGATTACCATTTGTAGAGGTATAGTGTAAGTTTATCAATTTTCATTTTTATAGCTGAAAGGATCTGTTGTTTCCACTTAAGTGCTGGTTCACAAGTGTCCTGTTACTGATATCTCTTACCTTTGGGTGGTTATTTTCAGACATCTTTGGAAGAAACGTGGAAAGCATTATTTTCTAGCCTTCGATATGCTAAAAACTTTAGTGGTCCTGTATGTTTTCGTCATGCTATTCTCTCTCCTTTGGGATATGAAACTCCACTTTTTAAGGGGTTGAGTGAAACTATAAATTGTCATGGTGCATTGGCACCTGATCTATGGCAACACCCTGATGACCAGAAAACAGCGCGAATGTCAGAGTTTGGAGAAATGATTAAAGCCTCTTTTGGATTTCCAGTACATAGACATCGTTTTGAGAAGCCAACTTCAGGTCATAACGTTCTTTTTGTTCGACGTGAAGATTATCTAGCCCATCCACGCCACCGTGGTAAGGTTGAGTCAAGGCTAAGCAATGAACAAGAAGTGTTTGATGCCTTGCAGAACTGGGCATCTAATCACAAGGAATGCAAAATAAACCTTGTGAATGGATTGTTTGCACACATGTCGATGAAAGAGCAAGTCCGGGCCATTCAAGATGCTTCTGTTATTATAGGTGCTCATGGTGCAGGTCTTACACACATGGTATCCGCAATGCCAAAGACCGTGATTCTGGAGATTATTAGCAGTCAGTATAGACGCCCACATTTTGCATTAATTGCTCAGTGGAAAGGGTTGGAATATCATGCCATTAATCTTGACGGCTCATTTGCCAGTCCACCAGTTGTTATTGACAGGCTTAACGGCATAATTAGAAGCCTTGGGTGCTAAAAATTATTTGGTTTTTGCTGAAACCTATTCATCTCAATGCTGCTAGTGGAAGTGACAGAGAATCCTTCTTCCTGGTAGAGTAGATAGTTGTGAAACATGGAATGAAGCTACCGAAGCAACGGTATGGGACAGTTCAAGTTGTTGGCCTTGCTTTGCAAAATGATATGGCATTGTGCAAGATTGGTTGACAATCATCAGAGGGACATAAACATTTTCTGGACTGCGTTGTCTCTGCGTATGGTATGTTTCCTCGACACCCAATACCATCATATTTGTCAGTTTTTTTCTTCAGGTAAATGGCCTGGCTGCTTGAGTCATTGTGTTGCTTGTATACTAATTCTTTCTTACATATGCTTGTATGCTTGTATCGAGTTTTAGTCAGAAATTTTGTTATAAACTAATAAAATGGCTACATTTTCGTTGTTAGATTGAGATCGATGTTGTTGCATTACATGTGCCTTGAGCAATTTAATCTCATATCGTCTTCGAGGGTGATATGGATGGTGCATGACATACCATTGCCATTTTATCATGAGCTGCCCATGTATAAAACACCAGATGAGCAGTTTTTGCCTTGTGATTTTCATTGAGTTGAGAAGTGAATAAAATTAATGTAATCGGTCTGGTTCAGTTTTTTCCGACTTTCTTTCAGCTTGGTTTGATTCGGTTCAACGGTTCACCGGTACACTGGTTTACCGGCAGAAGCAAAAAGTTTCTGGTGTCAACGTAGTACAAACAAGTTAATGTGGCAAATTGAAAAAATGATCGTCGCATGACTCCATTTTAAACAGAAAGCGGTACAATCGCCTAAAATGTAAATAAATAATTAGCGGTAAAATGTGAGTGAAATACGTTGATGATCAAGAAAAATGATCGTCGCATGATTTTTCTTAAAGATGACCTCCAAATGAAGATTTATAAACCAAATTGTTCGTATTATGAAACTTACATAGCAAAAATACGATATTCAGGAATAAATTTGTGCATTTCTCATTGTGAAAAACGTTGGTATTACTATTATCCAACTTTTTTTAACTAAAAATAAAATAATTATCAAACGAGACGCAATATGGCCACCCAATGAGTTTCATGCTCATCCCGCCATCTCCGTCGAACAAAAGCCTTTCGCTGCGTTCCCAACTCACTTGTAGCCGCGGAGTTTTAAAAGCGCAACCTTCTGAGGTATGGTTTCGCTTCGCCTATACCCAACGGCTAGCATGCTAGTATCTTGCTAACAGTCGTCTATAATTACTCTGTTATATGCTTTTAGCTTAACCAAAATCCACCAATCAATCCTAATCATGCATGTCGAAACCGAGAATTTGCGGTATTTGAGAAATGCCTTCCAACTGTATGATGAAATGCCACACAGAGCTGTTTGCTCTGAAAACTCATTTCTTTCATGTTGGTTTTTTTCCCCAGTGATTCTGCTTTGTTATTTACATTTTATTTGATGACATTTTTGCGATAAATTGTGTGCATCCTCTTTGTTTAAAGCATATAACAATTTGCAAACGAGGATGGTGGGTTGCTTCCCCTCCACGCCCAAGAGGTTGGCTATCACAGTTGGATGCTTCATTTCTGCGGCTGCTCTTTTTTCTTTTGGCGTGCATCTCTCGTATGTCAATGTTGCTCCTCAACAAGCTCGAACCAAAGCTCGAAATGAATTTGTGAGAGAGCGGCTGAAACACAAGTACGGCAGCAAGTGATACAACACGCATCATTTCCATGTATCAGTTCAGTTTTCGGATTGCATCCTGTTAGGGGAAAAAAGTTCTGAGTTGTGAATTTATGATCCATCCCCTGTGAGAACTCTTTCAGGCATCGAAATCCTACTGTTTCTGTGGTGGTTTCAGTTTTTTGTTTGTTCAATATTTGATGTATCAGTATTACAAGTATTAACGAGGATGATAGACAATTCTTGCTGGCATAATTTGATTGCCATGAACATGAAATGAAAGCAAACTCTCACAACAGAAGAAAACGGTAGTGCAAAACTAGATCCGGTCAAGTTGGCTAGTGTGACCCTTTGCACCCAAGTTCGAATTTCCCTCCCCGTAGTTTTAGCAGATTCAGAACAATATGGTCCATTGTTCTCTCAGAAAGCGGCTCCAACAAGGGAGAAATTCTAAGGTACATACTCGGACCACTTGGCAATCTGACCGCAAAGAACCCCCACACCCACACACTTGTGTCTGGTGCCCGCCCTACATGGGTGTCCAGACACAACTTTTATTGTCCTAAGCAGCCGTCTGGACAGGAAGAACTCCTAACAAAGGTATATACATTGGGTCATTAGACAATTTGTAGAACGCACATATCACTAGAGCACCAGATACTCAGTAGGGACTCGTGAGAGGCGGGACTAGGGCAAAGAGAAAAACTGTACAAATTTACTCTCCAGTATTGCTAAACAAATCACTCGAGGCATCCAAACAGTAAGCGTTTATGATTGCCAAAATAGGATTACTGATTAAATCAACCATAAAAACATTGTTTGGAGTAAAGCAAGTTCCAACTTCAAACTCAAATAAAGTGAAATGCTTTAGAAAGTAGGAAAGGAGAATAGTGATGACATATTCTGAGTCTACAAAGACTAAGTACCAGTAACAAAAATTTAAGCCGCAGCTCCCTTCCCCTTCTTCCTCTGGAGCTTCTTCATGTAAAACTCCAGCTCCCTGCCCTCCAAGATATATCTGCAAAACATTACATATGAACGAACATCAGATGTGATACACCACTTTGCAACAAGAAGCGAAAAACAATTGTTATCATCCATGCTTCCAACTCTAGCAGAACTGCAAATAAACCAAGAGAGGAAGATAAAGTCACATACCCATCACAACGGCCACACTGACCGGGTCGTGATGAAATACAAGCCAACAGACGACCACCACCAAATTGTTCCTCAATATGCTGGTCCAAGGTGCGAGTCTGTTGACGCTTCTCCAGCTTTCTGGCTACATGGTTGCTCTTCTTTGCCTCCTCAGGAGCAGCAGCAGGTGCTTCACCATCCTATAAGAGCACAAAACATGTCAGCAATGACCATCAATTCTACTAATCTTGAACACCTAAATCCTTCATCTCAAAGAGTACAAAAATATTATCTTCCTTTCTGCAATCAGCATCCATACGTATACCAAAATATAATTCTTTCAACCAAGTGAGCACATTAAAGACTATATAGACCATAACATTTTTTTTCCTCTGGAAGAAAGAGCAATAAACATTCTACAAATACGTAAAACACAAGTCCATACTTAACGCATTGGACAAAGCTTAAATCATTGGCAACAAGAAATGAAGAGGCACCACTTCTAAATTCACGAAACAAGAGATAATAGACCCCTACCTCTGCTTCTTTCTTGGCAGCTGCCGCAGTTTTCTTCTTGCGGCCAATTTCAACTCCATAGTGCTGGAGATACCACTGCTTGAATGGTGCAGCATCAACCTGAACAATGGCACTTTTCACCAAAGTTTGAGTACGGACCAACTCATTGTTGGATGCATTGTACACAACATCAAGAAGACGGGTTTTGCGGGTCACGGCCTCACTACCCCAGGAGAAGTTTCCAGTATCAAGCCTCAGAGCACGCCACTTGACATTCCCACCTCGAACCCTGATCCTCCTCACTGTCTTGTTGCTTGACAACTTGGTGTTAGCAGGTTGCCTTCCAAGCTCGTACCTGCAAACAAAAAGTGCAAACTAAATCAATTCTCAAATCATCAAGGCTTTAAAGTAACATCATTTTACACAAATGTGAAAGTCCATTGTAATTACAGATATCAATCATTAATTAAACCTAAACCAACGGGCAGTATAGACCTTGTCGCCACAATACTGTGCAAAAACTTTGCACACGGTTAATTAATAAGTTAAACAACAACGCTCACAATCTAAGAAATAGAGGATTGGTTCCATATGTTGCATAAATTAAAACAATCCCTTCAATTGAGACATAAGACAGTGAATTACATCTAGTCAAAAAATCAAATAAAAGAAACAAACAGAACACAAAATTTCGAAGCAATTAAAGTTCTTTCAACAGCTAATAGACTCCGTCCTAAGTCATCTGATAACCGAAAACAAATAAAAAAAACAAAAGGGTTTTCTAAATACATGGAAAGGGGATTAATTTCTTCAAAACAAGCAAATCATTGATTTACTCATCAAATAAACAGGAGAAGCACATTATTCAAAAGTAAGATAACTTGCGCAGAGAAAAACATCAAAAATCAAAACAAAAAGAGGGAAATATTACTTTCGCTTCTTCCTCCAAGCCTTCTTCTTGCCTCCAGTGGCACGTCTCTTGTGCATGGAATCACGAGAAATACCTACAAAAAAATCACACATAAACGCAAGATTTAGCACAACAATTCACAAATGCGATATAAAAAAAATCGAAACTCCAGATGAACAAATTCAGAGGTACCCATCACAAACGAAGTTGGAAAAGCAGAAAATGGATCCGAGATCGAGAAGTAAGAGTGATTAGAGAGTTACCCATTTTGGCGTTCTAGGGCTCTGCTGCTCCTGGAGAGTCTGCGGCAACGCGGCTAGGGTTTGAGACGAGTGAATGAAGGCGAGCTAGGTTTTTAGTACCAACGTGACTTCACAAATTTACTTTATTGTCCCTCAGTGTCTGGAGATATAACTGTATGGCCCAAACAAACTCTATACTTTAGGGCTGCTTTGGGTTGGGCTTTTCTGAGAATCTGCACCCCGTCTCTATTAAGTTTGGGTTGAAGTCACGTTTAGATATTGATGGGCCGAAGAGCAACTTTGGAGGCCCAAAGTTTATCCTTTTACCATTTTAATTTGAGGAATTCTGTTAAGGGTGCCTCTGTTAGCACCCAACTTTTAAGTTTTTTGTTTTTTGTAATAAACGATATTATCTGCATTAAGGTTATTTCCAAATGAAAGGGTTAAATTTAGCCTGGTTCAGAATTATAACATGCAAAATATTATTTTTAAATGAACAATGGTCATACATGTACCATCCCCAACCAAAGCGGCTAAACATAACCCCTCAATAATTTATTAATTTTAAGTTCATACTTTAAATTTATTAGTTAATTTAATTAAACTAACTTTGGATGTTTTCAAATCTTATCGTTGAATTTGAATATATCATTACAACTAAGAAGCTAGGGCCCAAAAAAAGGGCTAAAATGAGAGTTACATTTGGCCAACCTGATGCCTCTTGGCCAAATAATGGCATGGTGGGCTCCATGTAATTATACCCCAACCTTTAGTTAGAGATGAGTTTTTTGGCAAATTAAGCTATTTTTTAGCTTTTGGTCTGTTAGCCCTCTCAATTAGAGATGACCTAAGGGGCGGGTGGGCTAATTATGATGTGTAAGTTTTGTTTCCAAAATGATTATGTATCAATTGCAAGGGGCGCCATCAAATGACTCTTCCATGACTTGAGTAGTAAGCAACACTCAGCTCATAGACATTAGGGCAGCCTAGAAGAGAGGAGACCCTAATGAGGTGAGTAGTATCTACCAATCCATGACATGAGTAGTATCTACTGATTCGATTGCACTTCCTTTAATTCCATGATTTTCGTCGACCTGTTTATTTGTTGGCGTTTGGAGCCCTTACGCTGGAATACACTCATTTGTTGCACTATATTGTTCTGCATAATCATGGGTTGTCTAGAATGATGCACAGATGTGCATTGGTGCCCCTGAGCAACAAATGTCATTTTTTTCTGTCAATGTGAAGATGCATTATTTGTAGGGATGATTTTCAAACGAAGATTAAACAATTGCACAGTTAGGATTATAAATTTTTACGGTGAAGATACGTTATTTATAAGTAGATGAATGAGTTCATTTCTAATGAGAGTTTTATTATATAAAAACAAATGAACAATACTTGCTTGTCTCATCCCTGTGGAATCTCCTCATTCCACCATTTTCATTTAACGTATTGTTTTTTATTCTATGTATCTGGAGAACCATCTATATCAACCACAGATATTAAAATTAAAATTATAGCCTTTATATGCTAATGAGATACTTGTTGCAAAAGCATGGGTGTTATAGTAATTGTATTTTTTTACATCACTTTCTCACCCCTCACTCCCTACTTTTTTTTTTCGCTTTATTATTTGTTACTAGAATAGAGCACACATTTTGTATGTGTGAACAATTTCTCTTAATAAGTGCATATTTTTTTTTAATATTACATAATTATTGTTTTGTCCTCCTTGTGTAACTATTGTGTATCAAAAGTGAGGGTAAAATTGAAAAAATAAGTATATGATTGTCATTTTCTCAAAAAAAAAAAAAATAGAGAGGGTAAAATAGGAAAATGATTGTCATTTTGTCAAAGGGTACAAAATTACTATTTTGCCCTCCTTTTGTCAATAGTGTGTATCAAAAGTGAGGGCAAAATAAGAAAAAAAAGGGAAAAAAGTTGACAATGAGAGTTCTCTTAATAATATAGATATAGATAATAACTCGCTCCAAATTCCAATAGAATAATTTAATAAAAATTATCCTCCTAATTAAGCACATGCATAGCATTAGGTCTGGCAAACGTATCTTGTTTGTCGTGTTCATAGTTATTTTCGTGTTATACCTGTTATTTTAACAGGTCGTGTTTTGTCAAACTAGTTATCTTAACAGTGACTTGATAATGACCCGATTCGATGACGGGTCATGGCGTTTCATGTCTGGTTAACAGGTCTTGTAAGAAATTTTCATGCCTAATATCTGGCAAACAACATATTATCAAGTTCTTAATGGGTGACCCGATAACAATTCGACTCGATAATGGGTTCTTAACAGATGACACGATAATGACCCGACTCGTGAACAAGTTGACCCAAAACCTTATTTTCGTGTCAGGACAACGAGTCATGCAAGAAATTACCAAGCCAACATAACATGTGTACAAGTATGTCATAATCAGAACAATCCATCTCTTAAATCATCATTTCAATATCAGCTACGCAAAAATATAAACAAAGTAGTGATAGTTTTAGTCTTCCATATGCATAAAAAATATGTTGTGTCGATAACAACTAAATCATCATGGTTAGCCATCCATTTAGTTTATACATTTGAATGACCAAATGATATCGACTTTATTTGATTCGGAATGGAATGATGGCCGTAGGAAGGAACACAAATTTCTTGACTGATGGGTTGCATATGCATATAGGACTGGAATATCACAATGGGTTATCTCACAGTCATACTAAACCATCACTTGAACCGTGTATCTGAAAACGTTTCTTGATCTCCAAGGAATGTCGAATCTCGAAGCACTCTATATGGTTGCCTCTAGTGCACTGGAGAGCGATTAGAAAAGTAGGGGCAGGCGATAAAACATGAGCTTCCAATCATATAAAACTTGAACTTACAATCAAATTTTCATATTTCTGATTGCTATTATATTTGACTGGAATATCAACATTTACTATAAAGTAGTGGGAAAAAAAACATACAGGACATACAGCACGCGACTTGGGTCTCACTTTGATTCATGCCTCATAATGTGGCATGCACCGGTCGATGCCAGCCAACACAGTAATTCGAGCATAGATGATCATGAGAGTTGTAAATTCCCTCGTGGTTTCTAAATCGGACATCACAAACATATGTGCACAATGATCCAACAGATTTTTTTACAAAGAACCAAATTCATAACTTGCATTCAGAATTTCAACTAAAAAATTTACATAGCACATGATAACCTGTCATACTAAGGAAAAGAAAAAGGTAGAGAAAGAGGACCACTTGATTGAAGACCGAAAAGCATAAAAAGCAATGATGAGACAAAATTTCTTAGGCTGTGTGAGAACTGCCCTTCTTGCGATTCTTCAAGGAATTGCAAAAGGAAGTGAAACCTGCTTTTAGTTCGCCCGGAAGTGAAAGTTGAAGGGGGAGTACCAAGCGAGAGACTTGCTCACTTTTCTTCCTCACAGAAAATGGTTGCGCTAAAGCTGGCTGCTGCTTGTTTAGGCCTTCAATAACAAATGAGAATGCCCCAAAAGTGAGACAGCTTTGTAGAAGAGCCTGCGGTGCACCTGCAAATCAAATAAGGTAATCTAAATTAAAGATGTGATATACAGTACGGAAACTGCTTTAATTGATTAGTGCGGAAAAGACTTGCCTGTTGGTGACAAGCCAAAAATGAATAAGACCAAAAGTCGGGATTTCTGTAGATATTAATGATTTTAATTTTAAAAGTGAAGTCAATGTGTTTATTGCTAATTTATAAACTATTGTAACTCTGTAACATGATGGATACCTGGAAAACTAAGAGCAAGACCAGTGCAACAGCCAGCTACTCCAGCATTAATAACTGCACAGGGAAGAGAGCATGAACACAATATAATGAATGAATAATATAAAAGTACCATTTCTGCATTCAAGTTCCCATACCATCATCCTTTCCTCGCAGCCTCTTCAAAATGCAGACAACCAAACTGTGCACTCCGGACAAAACTGCAAATGTCTGAAAGAGGAAAATATAAAAGTGAACCTTAACAACTGAATGCAAAGAAACATACGACATTGTAAATAGCATTTCATAAGAAACTAAATTAATTACACTAAGATTTCGAAACTATCAATTAATAATAGGAATTTTCATACCTTAGCATAAGATCCTGCCTCTCCAAAGGATCCTTTAAAGCCTTTTTTCTTGACCAACCCCGCACCTGAAACACATCCAGGCAAAGGTAAAACAAAAATCTCAGTCCGAATGACTTCAAGTAAACGAAAAAAAGATAAATTGGGGTTTATTTGAGTAGTAGATTGCTGAAGCAGGGTTTGCTTTGCTCATCTAATAATTCACTAATAAACTTGATATCAAGCCAAATCTCAAATGTCTAGCTGTATTTACAAGTATAAAATTCAGGGCAAGCTGAACAACTAAATATCAAGCCAAGTTTGAGTAGCATGGTTTGTTCTACATCGCCTCGTTATGTGAACACAGGACACAGAAATGACCGGCATTATCCAAACATGGTGGCCTAATTGCTGAATAAACCTTAATAATCACAGACAATCAGAATTCTCTCATAACAGCTTCTACCCGCTAGTTAGACGCAATGAACATAAACAGGAACCGAGAAAATAGCAGTATAAAGCTCAGAACGAACTATGTATAAGGCTGTGAAGCCTCGATATCTGGGAGTAAAATACCGATAAAGCATAGACCATGTACCCTGCTCCAAGTCTATCCACAAGCTTACAGTACACTATTCAATCCCAGACCCTTAAATTATCAACTTAAACCCAATTTAATTACTGTCTTATCAGTTCCAGCAGGAAATTGCAGAAATTACACTCTCTATTACAATCAAGAACGAAATTATCCATATAAACCACAATTTCACATCTCAAAACACTAGCATACCTTAACAATAAGCAATTCTGCGAAAAACCACGAAAAATTCAGAAAAAAATCCAATCTTTTTCTAAACCCTACAAACTCATTGAATAAAAGCACATTTTCGCAAAAATTCCAAATCCCTCAAGACCACCACTCAAATTCCCATAACAAACACCACAATCATGCAATAAAAAGCTTCACGACACAGACACATGTATATACGCACACATACATATATGTATATATACACAGAGAGGAGAGAGAGAGAGAGAGGGGGAGGACCATAGCCAAAAACGGAGCCCATGAACGCGCCGCCAGCAGAGTCTCCGGCGAACTTGAGGAGGCAGACAGCAGGGGCATTGGGGGAGGCAGGCACTAACGAGTTCGAAGAATTAGGGTTTGGATTGGTATCGAGCTCAGTGTTGGTGTCCATCTCAGTGTTTGGAGAATCAACCGACGTCGTCGACATGGCCGCTGCTACTCTCTGTGTCTATTCAATCTCCAAAAGCAGAAATGGACAAAAATCCTGAACTGACACTACAATACAATCGGAAGAGAAAATTTTCATTATAACCCAGTACATATCACCTATTTTTATAGAGGCAGTGAAAATTTTAATTGTTATGTTATTAACTTTTTAACATAGTATATCTTACCATTTGTATAATGACACGTAGTATACGATTTCATTATCGGTCACACTGAAAAACTTCTTCAATACGACATCTTGTGTTTTTCGTATTTTAGAAGGGCAATACTCATTTCTACCACTACGATAGAGGACCACTTGTGTTTTCCGTATTTTATTTGGTTAGTAATTCTTTAAGATTTGTTAAAAATAGGCCCAAACGACGTCGCACTGACATTGTTATATTTAGGGGTGGTTAAGGTCGGGATCACAAACCAAAAAGCATAACCTAGGGGGGGTTTTGGTAAGATTACCGTACCAAAACCTCTGTACCGGTTATCATACCAAATATTTGATACGGCAAAATCTATTACCATTACCGTACTAAACTTTCGGTATACCAAATATTTTGGTTGGTGCGGTATGCCAATGGTAATTGCCACTTAGTTAGGCCAAAATCTAAAATTTTTCTAATCTAATTCAAGGCCTAGAAAATATACACAGTTAATGTATTGGTCTTTACAAATCAATGAAAACCACGAAAACATAAACATGGTAATGAAGCTTTACAGTTTCAAGTGAGATTAACACAAAACTCACAAAACTGTCGTTGCTGATCAACAAACAGCAGAAGGCAGCAGTAGTATCTTCAACCTCGAGCTTCGATAGACATCCAATTATACAAATGTAAACAAAAGCTACAAAGCTAGCCTAGTACTACTCACTAAATAATTCAGCTGCACATCATCATCAATGTTTCTTTTGCTGCATTTTACAAAAAATAAGCATAATAATAATACTGCTGCATAACTACTTTTACTACTTACCATGACATGTGAGATCCAAAGTATAACTATAACACGCGTTCCCAATCCATAGAAGTTACAAGCCAAATCAAATAGAAGTTAAGTATACAAACTAAATGAAAATTGGAAATTCGAATAGAAGTTAACATTTCAAACTAAATCAACCTAAAACTTTATAAAGTAAAAATGCATTGATTAATTCTTCAAGACTTGAGATGTAGATGCATTTAGAGGAGGCATTGAACTTGTAAAAGATTGAGGTTGAGCTGGTGTCAAGCCTACATTACAAAGTACATACATATATATGTAGATGCATTTAGAGGAGGCATTGAACTTGTAAAAGATTGAGGTTGAGCTGGTGTCAAGCCTACATTACAAAGTACATACATATATATATATATAATTCTTCAAGCCTTGAGATGTAGATGCATTTAGATGAGGCATTGAACTTGTAAAAGATTGAGGTTAAGCTTGTGTCAAGCTGAGCTTGTGTCAAGCCTACATTACAAAGTACATATATATATATATATATATATATATATTAATAAGATTTAGAATAAGAATAAAAGTTGAATATTTAATAACAAATTTACTAAATAAATTAAAACATGTCGTACTTGTTTCCACTTCTTCCATTTCTTTGTAGAATTGAAGCATATCTTTCGTTGGTTCTTTGTAGAAGTTTACTTCATCCGCCCTTAAGCCAATCATTAGTACACCCGTTTGAGACCAAGTTCACCTGTTGTGAAAAGTAAGGGTAACAATGATGCCCTCCATTCTAAAAAGTTGTAACGCTCTGACCCAAAAATTTTATTTCGGAAACTAATTTCGGTGATGGGCCAAAATTAAGCTCTAATTTAACTAACTACCGTTAATCACAATTCTTTATGTATATTTCTTAATCACTCACAAAATCTATAACTAAAATCTACTTATCAAAAACATAAGATTTTTAGTTTTCAATTAAATCACCATAATTTCTTTTCTTCCCTCAAATTTCCAACAAAAGGTTAATCTCAATTATTTAAGGCTACATCTAACCCTTGTTAGACTGTCTACGTACTCTTAAGCGGGATCAAGCCTTTCGTAGTTCACCATTCACCATTTCCAGTGACGGTTAATGTTTTACTTTGCGAACTTACAAATCCAATTCGGGAAGATCCGTAAATCGGATTCCTGGTCCGTAAGTTCCTATAGTTCTCAAATATTACATACTATCATGTATTAAAGTTTGGTGTTGATCCAAAAGTTATATCGTCAATTCATATAATGATCAAGTGGCGGATCTTAACGAAATTATACTCAAACGATAGAATTCTGTTAATTGGATGTCAAATATGGAATTGGGGTATCAAATTTAGCCTAGGAACGTCAGGTGGGGTCTCAGCCCACGCGCCACCACATGCGGCGACCGGCCGTCCCAACTCGCCGAAAAATTCAACTAATTCCAAAAATTCTCAAATTTCACAGAAATGAAGACCTTAATGAGTAGAGCAGGTTTTATACCTATGACCAAGTCCAATTTGGTCGGGAAACGCTCCAATTTCCCTCAAACCCGCCTGAATCCCTAGAAATAGATGGCTTCGATCCATCACCTCCGGTGCTCCGCCGCTCCTACAGTTGTTTGGGTTTTGTTCCCTACCTCACCAGGAGTCGAACCAAGGTGGTAGTCGACCATGTTTCTTTCCCAAATGGCGGAATCATCGTTGTGCACCCCGTACACCCACCGGTGCATTTCCCATGAAACCAATACCAAATTAGCTTGGATTTTTGATAGAATTTAGAGATGGGAGGTTGAAAACACTTTTCTAGGTAACAACTTGAAGAAACTCATCGAGAATCGGATGGAAAACTGTTGAAAACTGTCATGGGAGCCAGCTAATTAGGTTGGGTTCATCAGTCCAGAGTGATCCGGTGTTCTCCCCTTCTCTCATTTTTCCTCCCGGTTCTCCCCACCATTGGTCCACCATTTCCCTCCTTTTCTCTCCTGCAACCCTATCTTCCTCACAGCCACACACGTGGTATCATCCTATTGCTCCAGATTTTCTAGAGCCTTTCAAATTAATGATAAAATGTCTATTTTGCCCTCCATTTCAATCAATAATAACTTCTTCGTTATAACTCCGTTTCATGAACGGTTTATGCCTACGCGTTCGTGAGATCGAGCTCTATTCAAACATATAAATTGTGATCTCAAAAGCTTTACAGATTTTAGATAATTAATTTCCAAACTTCAAACTTCGTAACTAGTTTAATTTAAAACTAAATTCAAACAAATTAATATAAATTCTCGAAAAATAATATAAAATCTCAATAATACAAATACGAAAATTATAATAATTACCGGAAACAAAATTTTTACAATTTCTCAATTCAATTTTCATAATCATAAATTGATTTATTTTCGATTTTCTCCGCATATTCATAATTATGAATATCTAATTCATAGATTTAAAATTTTAGGGTATTACAAAAGTTATCTCTAGCAATCCACCAAAGCAAGGGCAAGTGGTGGGCCATCCACTACATGCCCAAAAGCCCATGCATCTCAAACCCGATCTTGTGCCAATGGCAGACTTACGTCAACATGATGTCAGCCAAACATCTACATAAAGATTAGAAAGCTTGGGAAGACGCCATCCAAAAAGGGGAAAGAATTTATCGAAGTGGCGATAATCTAGCCAATGTAGGTAAGAATATTTTATTATTAATTTATATACTATTATTTAGGCTTTGTTATGTAAATTTTTAGAACTTAGTAGAATAGACGTCTGGTTTTGTGGAAATGAACTACGAATCGTTTGATCCTTATTTGAGGGTACGTAGGCAGTCTAACGAGGAGGTTAGATGCAGCCATAAGGTAAACGAAAGATTTCTTTGCAATTTGATTCTCGAATTGTGATTGCCATATTCCTGAGGCGGGGTATGTGAGTTATACGAGCATTTAGGTGACGTTACGTTTCGATCTTGGACGTATGTCCGGATTGGGGCGTGACAGAGGTGTTGGACATGATTCCCCGATCCTTCTCCTCTTACCTTTCTTGCCAAATTTAACTCCCTTTCTCTCGCCTTTGCTTCATCTCTAGACTTGTCTTGCTTATATCTGTAACATGTCTCGTTCCATATTGAATGCATGTTGCCGGGCTAATTTGTCAATTATTTTTTAATATTATTCGAGAACTCCCTCTTGCAGCTCTTTTCTTAGCAACCTTCTTACCAATAAGCCTCAAGGTTTCTTAGGTCTCCAATGGCGACTCTTCAGTCGTTGGCTTGTGCAATGGAGTGTCATTGAACTCAACTTGTGAACCATTAGGCAGAACTTTGTTCTTCGGAGTATGCTTCATAATGTTCCAACATTTGTGCCTTGTGAATGATTTCTTGTTATCAAGATTGAACCACATTTGTACTTGTAGTTACTGGAAAAAATTATGAAACAACATACATATTTACATAGCAAAAGTAAATATATATATATATATATTAATTCCATTTTTAAGTTATTAATGATAATTTCATACCACATCGGCTAGATTAACGTCACTAACATAAATTCCTTCTGCTATTGTAATGGCTTCTTGCCAAGCTTTCAAATCTTTATATAGATGTTTGTCTCAATAGAGAATGCTCGGTCCACTATGTGCCTTGTATCACCTCGATAAGTTGTGCATGAATCTTCTTCCACATATGTTGCACCCTCATCTCATTTTCAATCATCAGGTCAATCAGTAACACACACCCACCTGTCAAGCAAAGCAAGATCTTCTGCGATCGATCGTATTGCATTCTCACCCATTTTTTGAAAAAAAAACAAAGAATTTGGAAAGTGGAAAACAAATATAAAAAATTGTAGTAAATAAATATTGAGTTGTGATGAAATGAAGAATATGGTTGAGTATTTATAGAAAAACAATACAAATGATTTTTTTTCTAATTTTTTTAACTGTTGGATTAATCATGGCCATTGATTTTCAAACTGATAGAGGCACCCGATTATGCCATGTGTCGCAACGTTAACAATTTCAATTTTTTTTAATCGTTGAAAATCTAACGGTCCAAATCATCTGGCCGTTGGAAAGCCAATGACCCATAAAGCACCATGTCAGCAATTCGTTATAGAGTTGTCTGTTTTATGTTGCAGCAGGCCCCATAGCTGCAGCTTTTGTCCGGCCACACGCACCTAATAGAAAAAAATAAATTAAAATATGTGATGGCGGCAACATAAAGTTATGCTGATGTTCGCTTGTTTGCTTGCACAAGGTTGGCTTTTGAACGATACCGAAAATTTGCAAAAGAAATGTTTATAATTCTAGGAATTAAAAAACACAAACAAAATTATTTTAAATGTTTTAAAAACTCTAAGACCATCTCCAATGAATATGTCAAATTTTAAACGATAAAATTTAAATTTGAAGGTTTATATGGCACATTGAACTTTTTCTAAATTTTGTTCTCCAATTGACATGTCAAATTTAAACTATTATTTATTACATTATTTACTTTTTATAGTTATAATTAGTATTTTAAAACAAAAGATAAGTATAAAAACTATAAAAAAAACATTTATTAATTACTAAAAATAGATTTGAAGTTGTTGTCAAAGTTGACATCAATTCTCTCTGCTGCCTTTTCATGTTATGTCACATAAGAATTGTCAAAAAATTAATAATATTTGTTTTTACCGTTATTGTTGACGTGAACATTTTGATATATCTTTTAGAGATGCTCTAAAAAATAAATCATTAAAAGCATTATGATAAAAGAAATAATAAAAGAACCCTAGAAAATATACCCAATTATATTTCTGGATTTAGAGAAATAGAGTACATGAATCGAGTGAAATTCAACCCGAGACGCTGTCGTTGTGTACCCCCTTAATATTAACCCTTCCATTCTTCTTCGCCATCTGTTCTGTAGTCTGCTCAGCCGCCGCCTTCTGCACTCTGCAGTCTGATCTGCTCAGCCAGTGCTCTCTCTCCGCAAATCTCTTCACTTCGTTGCTGCTTACCTTCTTCAACTTCATTGGGTTTTCTGGATTGGCTCAGGTACCACGTCTGCGTAGCACCTCGTTTTTTCGTTTAATTTGAATTGGGTTTTCTTCTGCAGGATTGCACAGTCTGAATCCTTCACGAATAGCGTTGAAAGAACATATTTCACGTTGCGCGTGCCATTTCAATTTGTCTGGAAGTGAAATTGCTCAATGAAATTTTGGATACTTTATTTTGGTCTATTTCTGATTATAAATTGTGCAAGTAGAGTAAATAAATGGCAACATTTTTTTTTTATTTTTTTTTATTTTTTTTGGTATAATTAGGAATAGAAAGCTTCTAATTACTTGGGAACTGAGAAAAAAGCCAGACTTTTATGGGTGTGGTAATGATAGTTTGGTTGCAACTTTAAACAACTTTGTGCAGAAATGAGAAACCCCAAATGAAATGCTGCTACTTTTGTGGCTGGTATGTACGAATTAAGTGCAGGAATGTAACCTATTTTTCTAGTTGTTCTAGATATACTTTTCAATATTTCAAATTTTTGTATGTTACTTCACAGCTAACCACTCCAACTACACAGCTAAGAGGTTTAAAGATCACAGCAATACCTTTTTGTTTCTAACAGAGCCTTCCTTTGGGTGCATGACATTTGAGGCTTGGATTTTGCGCAGAGAAGGATGGGGAGAATGATATTGAATAATGCATTGAGATCGATAGTGAATGCGGAGAGAAGGGGGAAAGATACGGTGGAGTTGAAACCTATATCCACAGTAATGTCATCATTCCTCAAAATCATGAAAGATCGAGGTAAAACCCTACAGTCTCCTCCTTTATTATATAGATTTTGATAACAAATACTAACTATTTATTATGTACTTTCGGAATATGGAATTCTGTAAGGTTAATTTGTTGAGAGGGTTTTGAAAGAGGTGAACTTGTAGTGAATAAGGACCTACAGAACTGAGTTCAGTTAGCTGGTATGGGCTCTAGGAATTTGGCTTTAGTCAACAGAGATTTATTTATTTTTTATTTTCATTATTTCACCGTAAACAAGAAAAATGGTATCCAGGACAGGCTGACTAGTTTTAGGGCTTTATTGTCTTTATTTTTTTCACCTGAACTTACCTACGATGTCAGTTTATGAATTTCATAACACCATTTTCATTCTGATGCATGGCATTATCAGGCATCCTTGAATAAGGTAAGTAAAATAATAAGAATGTTCGAGGATATATTGCTTCAAATAATTTGGTGATGGTTTTAATACTGGGTATTGGAGGACTAGCATTATAGCAACTTGTAAGTAATTATGGGATCCTTTGGTTACATTGTTGTTTTAATTGGAGACGGGATATTCTTTTCGTTTAAATAATATTAATATATATTTTCTTTCTCTGCTTATGAAGTAGTTTGTGAATGCCCTACCGAAAAGTTTAGTTTTCTAAAATAAGCTAATGTTGGGATGTCTTTCAAGTTTCAACAGTTAATTAAGTATAAGTCTGTCTTCAAATTCACTGTATTGCTAGAAGGGAGCTCTGTTTTGTAGTTGTATTGAACATACAGAAGAAAGAGGAGCAATTTTTTTTATTTGTACCAAATGCATTGCACTTCTTGTTCGTTTCTTTGAAGCAGGAGAGGGTGAATACAAAAGTATATATCAGCTCCAAATGTTATTGTCAATTTGTTGCATGCTTATGTTTTAATGTCCCTGACCGTGGTATGTTCTCTTTAGGTTACATCAAGGATTTTCAGATCTTTGATCCTCATAGAGTGGGGAGGATAACAGTTCAACTACAAGGCAGGGTTAACGATTGTAAAGCTCTTACTTACAGGCAGGATGTAAAGGCAAGAGATATTGAAGAGTACAAAAAGCAAACGCTTCCGACTAAACAGGTTTGTTAACCTCCTGATGTCGAAAGATCTGTTAAAAGTTCTTTTTGTGTCTTATTATTTAAAGGTGCCTGTGTGGGAAGGTCTGGATTTTTCTGTTAACGGGCTTCTCTCTCGTCATGCAGTGGGGTTATGTTGTGATTACTACTCCCGAAGGTGTGTTGGATCACGAAGAGGCTGTTAAGCGTAATGTTGGGGGCCAGGTTCTTGGCTATTTTCATTAGATGGGAAGGGAGAAATGTTCACCTATATGACAACATCCCGACTTCACCGACATGAATTGTAGTTTTGTTTGCCTCAATTTCAACCGGTGTGAATCTTGTGTCATCTTATGATTTAGATAAATGGTGGAACAGGATCACTCCTCTTGAAACCGCGGTCTTGTTTGTTACAAAAAATGTAGCAGCATTTACGAAACCAGTGTATTACTCTTTTAAACCTAATTTGAAGCATATCTTCCTCGGGTCGGGGTTTTCTGGTTTTGACTTATGTATCGTTACTGAAAGACTTGATTACTTATGTAGCGTATCCATGGTTAGAATTCGACGGACCAAGATTGTCTGCCCTCACTTTCCATCCCCTTTCATTCCTTCCTATTTATCTAGCCATTGATTTCATGTTGAGTTAATTTAATGCTCCAGATTTTGCTACCTCACACATTTTTCACTCTCCTTTCTTCCTCTTCGCTTCTGCTGCTACATTCACAGACGAAGAAACATTTTCAGCTGCACAACAACAACATCCTCCACCAAGAATGCCATTGAATTACAATTGATGGCTTATCTTCGTTCTGTGCATGAATGCACCGTACACATGGTCCACAACATAATGGAGCATTCCCAGATTCAGAGTCATCATTTTTCAAAGAAACCCAAAAATTCAAACACCAAATTTTTACAAAAGATGGTTTTTATTTTTATTTTTAAATCAATTAAAAAAAAAAAAAAACCAGATGGGATTATATGCAAATTTTCAGAAACAGAGAGGAACCTAGAATCTAGAATGTTGGAAAAATTAAGAATTTATGAATTTAATACTCGGAAACTGTGTGATTGTGAATCAAGAGGCGTAGGCGGTGAAGAAATCAATGGGAGACTGAGAAGAAGAAATCCATGAGATAGAAGGAGATGAGAGGAGAAGGGATGGTGAGAGAGCTGAGGAGATCCATAATGGGATGGCGAAGGGGGAAGAGAGAGAGAACAAATCAAACCAAAACAAAACAAAAACTGTGGGCTGAGAGTAAAAATGTTTCTTGGTCTGTGAATGCAGCAACATAAGTGAAGAGGAAGAAAGTATAGTGAAAATGTGTAAGGTGGCAAAATCTAGAGTATTAAATTAACTCAACATGAAATCAATGGCTAGAAAAATAGAAAGGGATGGAAGGGGATGGAAAATGGGAGGGCAGACAATCTTGATCCGAATTTGACTCCAGGCATGCGTGATCAGATCTTTCTCAGCGGTCTTTGGAATTGCTACAGGATCAGAGACATGGCCTTTATAGGTCAACAAAGTTTTGTGTGTTGATGGAAAGGTGTATTAGTTTGCAATGGGCAAGTGGAACACGCCTACGAGAAAAAGTACACTCAGATGCAAGCCTAGGGCCTCAAGCAATAGTGCCGGGCAAGGGCCTTCAACAATGTCTTAGTCGTATGGTTTCTGCCGAAGTTGGGCATCAATACAACTGAGTAAGAATGCACTTGTCTTCAACCATAGCAGTGACTAGTGCATGACTGAGTTTTCAAAATGTATGTAATTCTTCCTGGTAGATTTCAACTTTCGACCATTCAGTAATGCTCTTGATAAAACGCTCCTTAGTTAAATGATCAGTGTCGACAACCATCTGAGCTTCTCAGGAAACATAACGATTATCGCTTCAAAACAAACACTGAAACATATGGTTGAAATTAAAAGAATGAATTCATAACATTGTATGTTAAAGTTTTGTTGAGGCATACATGAAAAGAAAATCAAATGAAAGAATTCATAATATTGTTGCCTATTGCATGAACCCAAGTGGGGTCTCATTCAGATAAATCGGTAGTTCACTCAAATGTCTGGCTTCAAATTCCGACCAGTCAGTAATGCTCTTGATATATAGCTCCGAATTCTGCTCTCCATGCCTGATCATCGTCTGTGTTGTGCGGAATGACAGAGTCTTCCCGGTATAGTGGTTGCAAAGCGGACTCTGGCAGTTTACTATCTGCCATGTACTGCTTCATGGTGATCATCTCCATCTTGTGCTTTCTTTTAAGCTTCTCCATTTGCTTCTTCAACTTTTCGTTTTCTTGATGCACATTCATAAAGTTCTCCTGCGTTTATGGAAGACAGATGACAAAAACAATTAGTGAGACAAACGAACTTGGAAGAACCAACTTAAGTGGTTCTCTTTGTGAAGTACTCGATGGCAAAAATGCCAAATGTTAGGTTTTCATTTGTGTTTAAGGGCAAAATATGAGTTACCTCTGCAACTGATGCGGAATGTTCAGCTTCTCTAAGCCTAACAAGGAGTTCTCCGGCAGCATGAACAGCTTCTGCAGTATCTCTCAGTTGAATCTTGAGACTCTTGTTCTCCTTCTTCAACAGCTCCCTCTCCCTCTCTCTTTCCACTCTCAAAACTGAGAGCTCTGTTGCCAGGGATTTCGAAAAGCGAGATCCACGACCTTTTGCTCCTGCTTTTGCCGCTGCCCTCTTCACTTCTGCTATTCCTGCCATGATTGCACGGTACTTTGCAACCAAGTCATTATATTTATCTTGTAGTTCAACATAGTGTTCAACCATGCGAGCATGCCCAAGGACAGATCTTTGAAGCACATCATCCAACTCTTCAGTTTTTTGCTTTTCCAATTTCAATTCCATCTCCACTCTCTCTGCTCGCCTGCGGATGGATTCAAGATCTACTCGCAAGTCATCAGTTAAGGAAATCCAATCACTCTCCATTTCTGTCCATCTCTGTCTTTCCTTCTCCAGCTCTTCCTCGCTGTTATCTCGAAATGTGCTACTTTTTCGCAGTTGGATGGATCGTGACAATAAAGAGGATCTCAGTCTCTCAGCGGACTTGTTGGGTGATGCATCAGTACGTGACTGCAATTTGGCCCTTAACATCTGAACTTCCTTAAGTAGTGCTTCCTTCTCATCCATATCAAAATCTGCATTCCCATCCCCAAGATCGAACTGATTCTGAACTTCCTGTATTTCACATTTCTCCTTTATAGTCTCTGGTTGGTGAATATCAACAGAACTGCCCCTCACGAGCTACAGAAATCACCAATAACATGTAAGAGAACTTTAAATATGCAAAATTGAGGAAGTTAATATCAGAATATGAAAAGGTTAAAAAACATAAACAGCTCCGACCTACCTTCTTTCCATCTTTGAACTCCTCATATGGTATCATTTCTTTACCATTATCTGCACAACTTTTGAATTGCTCTATCTAAAAAAAGAATAAAATTCTCTGAAACGTAAGACACATATATATGGAGAAGAAATAGTTCGTTGAGGTCGAAACAGAAAGAGAAAATGTTACCAGTTGATTTAACTGCTCAATTTTAGCTGCTTGCTCCTTGCAACGATTCTGAAGCTCCTCCTTTTTAGCTTCTTCCACTACATCCTGTTTAGAAGAAAAAAAGTAAATTAACAAGGCATTCCCGAGTTCATTCCTGAGTTTACAGCAAGTAAACTTAACGTACCTCGGTTATTTGGTTAGGCTTTCCTGCTTCATCAGCTGCTACAGTCCATGTCTTCAAGCTGTCCGAGACCTCATTCGTATCATCTTCATACACTCTTCTTTTGCATGATGCACAAAGGAACGAAGAAGATGGCCCATCTATGGATGGCCTTGTTTCTGGTAATGTTTGAGATGAAGAATTAGCTTTAACAGGTTTCAGTGCCAAGTGCTCAAAGGAGAACGAGACTGCGGATTTTCTTGATTCAGAGTTCTGCTGGTGGTAGTCAATTATCTGCAAGCCCCTCTGGAGGCTGGCAGCCAATGACTCAGTGGGGCCTGGAAATATTTTGCTTGAGCGCAAAGAGGATTGGATGTTTTCACTTTGATTCAGTGACTGTCTCAATACATCTGGCTTGAACTTGGAACTGTCTGATACGTTGTTCTGACTAACTGAACCGCCTGGTGCAAAAGTGACGCTCTTTCTTTGTGCATTTCCAAGTTTTGGAGACTCGGACAACGTTGGGTCTTGGAGGACTGGGGACCGACAGCATAAACTGATTGAAACACTGCTTCTGTTTACTGAACCAGTGGTGGTAGGAGAAATCTCTTCTGCCAATTCGAAGTTGTCCTTGGGAGGTAGCTCATTCTGAGAAAATTCCAGATCAATTTCTTCAAATACCTCATTGTCCTTTTCGTCTGAACTATGAAAGTCATCTTCACTTATCGAGTCTGTATAACAACTTCCACCCAACTGAGCAGAATCTCTATTGACAGAATTGTCCCCAATATCATGTTCATAAGAATTATGCAGCTCATCTAGCTGCTCACGTAGTTCCCTTACATCATGTTCATCCATATTTACCTCTTCATCAGAATCATTATCGATGCTGGGTAAAATCAAAGATCGATTCAGGCTCACCCGCAATTGATTCAAGCTTTCACGTACATTTCTCCCTTGAAAATATCCATTCTTAATCACAAGTGAGCCACTAGACTTTGTTCTTATAAGTTCTTCCTGCAAAACACACATTTCACAAACCTCAAATTTCTATCACCTTCAGCCTTTGTGACAGAAATCCAGATAGAACTACAAAGAACTTAGTACCTTTAACTGGCGAATTTGATCACTCAGATCATTAACATCATCCTCTGTTATTTCATTTATTACTGGTTCATTCCTAACAGATTTCGCTCGTTCTCCAAACCTTAAAGTTCGCAGTATCTCGCCATTATGTCTGCATTTGACAAGCATAATGAATGTTTCAGAGGATTTACAATACAATGTATGAATGCTATGCAATTATGATGTAAATAAATGTATCCGAGCATACTAATAATAAATCAAACTTCATAGCAAAAAAGCAATTAGCAGAGAGGAGTCAAATACTTGTTGTCTGGGGAAACTGCACAGATGACTGTAAGTTTTGAGTTGCCACCAATTAATTCTCGCAGTAAATGTGTTAAGCAGGAAGACTTATATGAAACATCTTCAGATTTTTCAGACTGGGGCGCTTTTGCAAGAGTATTTACCAAAAGCCTGCACCAAAATAACAACATTAACAGTTAAAAAAATGCACTGATCAGAGACAAATGATCCACAAAGTTTAGAAATACACAAAAGCTTGGTAATGTTTCCATAAAATGCATCCTTGCGCACGAACAATAATTTAATGCAGAAGAACGTAAAAGTGATAGCAAACTATTTTTCTGATTTTGTCATCAGGAGTGTATTCTGCATATTGTAACCCATCCTGTAAGTCATTTACAATAAGGCGCCTGATGGAATGATTATGAAAAGATATGGAATCAGACATG